GCTGGCGAAGGCGAGAAGAAGAGTCGGCGTTCGCGCGCGCGCGTCCCCCGTCGCGCTCCCCCGCTGCCTGGCTTCTCCCTCCCCTCACAAGGGCGTCGAGCGCGCCTTTCTTCTCCTGAATGGACGGCGGTGCTTTCTTTCTCTGCCTGCGCGGGTCGTGCGCCTCGATCGCGGGCGGAGGAGAGGGCGGGGAGAACGGGCGTCCGTTTCAGCACCGCGGACAGCGCCAGCGAAGCGGCCGGCGGGGACGCGGCGTGGATTCAAAAGCAGCCCGCCCCCGAATGCTGCAGCAAAGCCATCGCTCTCCCTCTTTTCCCTCTCTCACTCCCCTTGCTTCTCCCCCCCCCGCTTTACTCTCGCGATTTATTTATTTTTTGGGCCTCCCTCCCTCTCACCATCTAGTTGAATAAATATAGCCTTCTGGTGGATGAAAAAGGGAACGTGGGCTGAGCCCAGTGCCACCTCAAACGACTGCTTTTCCCTCCCTCCGCCCACCCCCGCTGCTGTCCAAGCTGACGGTTCAAGGAGCTTCTTGGGCGGAGGAGGAGGAGCGATCTGCGGGCTTTTCGCCTGCAAATCGTTCTGGTCGCGCTCAAATAAAATGCCACGCGCGTTGGCGGTGCGGGAGAACGCGGGCCCAAGAAGAAATAGAAAGGAATCCGCGCCCACCCAACGGATTTTGTTTTCCCGGAATTTCAGCTCGACTATTTAGGGCAAGTTTTTGCTCTTGGGAGGGGGGTGGGAAGGAAAAAAGAGTCAAAAAACAAAAAAATAAGCAAGACGAAAAGGCCAGTAGATTCGGCTACATTCAGTCGCGAGAAACAAAATAGGCAGGATTTCATGGCTCTTCAGAGCAAAGCTACTGAAAATCCTGGCTGCCTTATGCCTCCACATTTAACGTCATATTTCCGTTACATACGCACGCCCGTTTCTTTATAACATTTCTTAAATTCAAACTCTTAACTAGAAGAATCATTAAAAGGCATTGTTACAGATAGATCCACAAGTGCACTCCGTGATTTGTACAACTTGATGTGGAGCACCAGACTACCCGAAGGTATTTTTTTAAAAAAAACAAGGCATTGATCCTCTGGGACCTTGGAACGGAGGCCCCCCGTCGGTCGCTCACGGAATTTCATTGTATTTCGAGAGTCCTGTTTGCTGTGGTTTTATAGTTTATATACCATATTAAATATCTAAAATATGTTTACATCATTCATGAATATAAATGACTGACTTTACCATGGCAAACGTCCTCACTCTTGGCACCAGATGCTCACACAAAAACTAGAAACAGAAAGGTGCTACTTTAAAAAAAATTGGATTGTAGTCCCTAACATTAAAGAGGTATGAGAGATTTAGAGCCAAAAATACTTTGACTGAAATCCTGTTTGTGCTGCTGCACTACGTAAGGCTGGTGACATCATCAACCTTCTGTAATATAATTTACAGAACAGGATTTCAACCATGGAAAATAAGGAATGTGTTTAATCTGTGCTTGTCTAAAAATGGCTACATAAATTTAATGTTACAGAGATCATGTTAAAATTACTAAGCTGATATCTTATGGGGGAAAAAAGATTTTCTGTCTACTTACCTAAAAAGAAAGGGCGAACATGGGGAACTTTGTTCCAGATCACATTCTAACCCATAAATAATCATTCAAACAATAACTTAAAAGAGGAACAGGATTTAAGACTGAAGTGAAATTTCACAGTGTCTGAGTTCTAAATATCGTAGAAATTAATTTCTCATAAATTTTCTTTTAGGGAAGAAACTCTCTCCCATTCTGCTCCAATCTCACTGGAGAGTTGTATTTCTCCAGTAGTGCTACATTATCAGAAGAAATAAAGGTTAGAGAACAGTTGACTACTATATAAGAACAATGCATGCACTTCCCACTGAAAGCAGGCAGCGAAGACAACCACAGAAAGGGGAACACTCAGTGGGAGCCATCTGGAAGCAACTTTGAGTTAGAGCTGAGAAAAGTTATTTTTGAAACCACCAGTTCCAGAAATTCTAACCAAGTTATACTGGTTGGGAGAGGGGTTGGAGGGTTGTCATCCAGATAACCAAAGTTCTGGGTTGAGTCATATTTTATTGGATAACTCAAAAGTTACAAGCCAGGCAGGTTTCCAATTTCTCCAGGACTCTTCATCAAAGGGTATGAAATTTGGGGATAAAGGAAGAGGCAGCTGGTCACATAACCTGGTACTCTTCCTGAAGACAGATAAGCAAGCAGGAAAGAACTGAATATATTTTCAGGAACATTGGGCAACAAATCCAACCCGTTTTTAGACTATTTGTCTCTTCCATCCTCTCCCGTAACTTCCACCGCTTTGCCTGTTAAAGAGCTCTGGAGAACTCAAGTGTACACTTTGTTTATATCCTTCAGTCCAGAACCCTGTCGGCCTCCCTCAGCAGGTCATCATTTGCCTATTAAAGAGCTCTGGAGAACTCAAGTGTACACTTTGTTTATATCCTTCAGTCCAGAACTTTTTTTCATAGACAGATCACACAGCTACATTTTTTTCTTTTTTAAAAATAACAATCTCTCTCCTCACCCCCCACCCCCCCAAAAACATATCTTGTTTCCAAACTCTGTTTTTTGCTTTGCTGCTAGAGGTCCTCTCCACTGATTTTTTTTTAACCCAGCACTAGACCTAATTTTGTGGAAGACTGAGAGCATAGAAGCTTGAGGAAAAGGATATCACACTCCTCAATGCTCACCCGTTGGGGTGAGCTTAATTCATTATCCTTCCTAATGGAAGGACATTTCTTACAAACAGCCGCAGCTACTACTATTTCTCTTTCAAGGCCATAGAGAAAATATATAGCTCTCGTGAGTCACATTAGCCACTCTATGTTTTTGTTACAGAATTCTTGATTGTATTGAATATTATGTTTTTGATGAACATTCATTGGTGGAGTTGACCCACTTTCTCAGAGTTGGTAGAAAAGGAAATTGACTTACATGACAAGAGTATTGCCACCTCTAGGCCATACTTCCATGGAGAATTCTGCATTCCCTCAGCCCCTAAACTAAGAAGATTCTCCCAATGGCTGTGATTTGTGCAGGAAGCCGTTCCCTTCTTTCAGGGCTACCATTAAAAAGTGATGATGAGGAGACTGTCCTGATGTTAGGATGATCTACTTTCATATGCCTCCCAGGGTGTACATGCTTTTGAATTTTAGTGAGCAAAAAGATGAGGCTCAGCTAGCACAGTAATGCAAAAACATTCAGCAAAGCCTGAAAAGTATGCTTTTGCCTCTGGATTGTTTCTTTTTCATTTTTGAGATAGACAATCAATTAAGTGATGCTTATTTCTTATTTCTTTCCTTTTAACTCGTGCCATCTTAGGACTCTTTACTTTTAAATTAATTGTTAAAATTGTAAGTTCTTTGATTTTATATTTCTCTGTTTTTATATATGTAAATTGTGTAAATTTTAAATTGTTTCTATTTCTATATTGTGAGCCGCCCAGAGTAGACCATGTCTAGATGGGCAGCATAAAAATGCAATCAATCAATCAATCAATCAATCAATCAATCAATCAATCAATCAATCAATCAATCAATCAATCAATCAATCAATCAATCAATCAATCAATCAATCAATCAATCAATGACATTTTCTTCTCTAGAAAAGAGAGTATTTTGCCTTTTGTAGTTTGAATTTTTGCCTGGGCATGATTGGTGTCTTTGCATTGTCTTGTTTACTTATTAGTTTTGTCCAACCTGATTGTTTCAGATGGGAACTCTGCTCTGGCTCACAGGTTACATTTTTGAAATAATCAAAACAGACATTTATTTTAGAATCTTATAAATGTAACCTAATTTGGTGGTTAAGTAAAAACAGTAAAACTGGGGACAGACTTTGGTAATTACTAGTTTTTTTTTATTATTTCCAAGATTAATTATCCAATGTATACTTCTCTAGGAGCCCTATTGAAATTCATGGAATTTTTCTTGTGAGGTAGACAAACATTGAATCATGTTTATTCTCTCAGGTATTTATTGTATAGGATGAATTGCTATTGCAAACTATTTCATTAAAAAAGCATATTCATAAAACATGAATTATATTAGCATATCCCTTGCACAGTTAACTACAAAAGCATTCCTAGAGATTGTGTCTCATTGCCATAGCCGGTTTATAGGTAACATAAAACAATGTCCACCAAATTTGCAGAAGAGATATTTTTATCTTAAAAAGATGCCAAAATCAGTCCAAGGAACTTGCCGCAATATTTTAGTACAGAGAGCAACATAATGTGTAATATGAGCTATTTTCTACTTTTCCCAGATTTTATATATACAACCAGAGGTTCTTGAAAATGTTATGTCTTCTGTCCAGGAAGGATATAGGAATTGTTTGAATGTGTAGTTCAGTGAACAATTCTCAGTGAAACAAAATTACATTTCTAGATACAGGGTTTTTTCATGATTTCATTTAAACAGATATTATCACTGAAGGAGAGCAATGAAGAACTAACAAACTCAAAGTCCTAGTTATTGTCTAATCTATATCTCAAAATCTTGAGCTCAGTTTTTCTTCCAAGAAATACATATACCAGAAGATAACTTTTAAGACTCACCACTCTTGAGAAGACTGTTCTAAATGTATTTTCTTCATTTGTTTTCATCAACAAACTTGGAGAGGTGATGCTCAACTAAGATGGCTCTGTTTGAGATCTGGCTGCCAAGCCTCGCTAAAAAATGTGCTTTGACAAACCTCCAGCTCTTTCAACTTGCTGTGGCTTAACCTTTCCCTTGCACCTCAGTATCATATTACATTTAAATAAGAATAAGAATAAAGAATAAGAATTGCTAAGAAACAATTTTAGTGCTGACCCACTAATCTCTGCAGTAAGTGAAGAAGAAGAAGAAGAAGAAGAA